TCCATAAAAACATTTTAGAAATAGATATTTTGGGAAATGAATTATTTGACTACTAATAAATTTTAAGAAGCCTGTAGAATGGATCGGGCCTAAACCAGCAGTTGGACATCCCCCAGGTCCCAGATTGGAGAGGGTGCAGGCTGGCCTGAGGGGACCCCCCCGGCCCCCCCCCCCGCATGAATTTCGTGCACCGCGCCTCTATTTCATAATAAAACAATATTTATTGACCTTCCCTATTTAAAACAAGAATGTTAGGATGGTGTGTTCTTCCTTTCAGCCTTTCCAAACCACTTTATGGTACCTGATTATTCTCTCTCTCTCTCTCTTTCCCCCACTCTCTCTCTCTATACTACAATAATGCAATTACTATATTAGACATCGTTCTAGGTTGTTTTGCTTTTAGTGCTCATCACCAGTTCTTCTAGGAGAGAATTTCTTAAGTTGTTTATTTTGACTCACTCTCTGTTAACTAGCCTGTGTATCAGATAACTTTCTTTAGGTAGGTATCTGGTACATGTCTGAGAATGTTTTTCATGATCTGAAGACTTTTTTTCAACAAAGGAAATTTTATTAAAGTCTTGAATTATGACATCTTACTTCTTATTGTTAGTTCTTTGGAAACATTAGTAATGTTTAAAAATCAGGGTTTTTCATTAAAATCTGAATTTATGGCTTCCTAAACCAAATTTCTAGCTTATCAAATTTTTTTTATAGTTTAAAAATTTATAATTTAGTTTTGTAGTCTCATTTAGATTGTTTTTAACCAGCCTTGGGAGGGATCTCCTGGCCTCTTTTATGAGGAGTAGCCTTTATTTATTCTTGGATAAGTTGAAACTGTTTGGAATTTTTCTGTTCTCAGAAACATTGTATGGGGAAACCATAAGATATATGATATGCGGCTTCCCCAGCTCTTCCCATTTTAGCTCCTGCCCTCTGCTAATTTCTGAACCCCAGAATGAAAGCACTATCCTATTTCCACTTCTAAATATATTCCATTGTTCAGATTATAACCTCAGACAGGTATTAGGTGGGGAACAGAGAGGTAACATTGGCTCTGGCTACCCATAGGAAATGACTCTTTCTGGTAGACGAAAGTCTGTGGTACTCAGAGGAGGGGAGTGGATAGAAAAATCCAGGCTTTCATCGAAGCTTTGATTTATTCATGATTTTAACACGTACGTTTTATTAGGTTAACCTCAAATGGATTTTATTTCTATTTCTACAGGTCCTGCTCAGTCAGGAATTTTGTCAGATCGTGAAGTGGTAAATCTTTTTCTTCACTTTACTGTCAATCCTAAACCCCGAGTAGACTACATTGATCGACCGAGATGCTGCCTCCGCGGAAAGGAATGTTGCATCAATAGGTTCCAGCAAGTAGAGAGCCGTTGGGGCTACAGTGGGACGAGCGATCGAATCAGGTATCTGTCACACTGTTACGGACGCCATGGTGGGCTGGGCGGCTTTTATCCCCATATGGTGGGAGATAATTAGCCAACATCTTATTTGATACTATAAGAATCACACAGGCAGTGAGGCGTATGGTCTTCTCACTGAATTACGAGGAAACAAGTAATGTAAGGAGGGGTTGGGCCGGGCCTTCTGTTACATGAGTTCTGTTTGGCTTGCCGCTGCGGGTGAGCTGAGGTTGAGACATTAATTGGTCAGACACTGTGTTTACAGTCTTAGGACTACGATTTATTTAATACATTTACTCTTATTCTGTTTAGTGTGAGTTTCTTTCTTTGCACAGACATAGCATGGGATATATCTCAGTGTAGAAAAAAAGAAGAAAATATCTCAGTATACATTTATAAAAGCTTTGAAAGGAAAAATAATCTTAAAAGATTCAGGTGTATAATCCTGTTAGGAAGTTACCTTTGTTTTATTGTGTTTCTTTAGGTTAAATGTCAAAATTGAATAAGTACCAGTTTTCCTAAAACATGCCTTTGGATTTTCACTTATTGAATAGCACTTTTATATAAAACTAGAAACTCATAACAAGTTTATCAAATATGGGACTCCCAGGGGGAGAGGACCCTTGTAAATAATTGGAATAAGATGGAAATTAAAAACGCATTTGTGGATCATTTAGCAATCATTCACAACGAGAATACTGTATCTGAAACTCATAATAAAGTAGACAAAGTGTCACAAAAATAAAGTCATAAAAACTACTTTTACTAAATAAATTATAGTAGAAATCATTTAAGCATTCAACTCAAGTAGCTAGAAAATGAATAGCAAAAAAAGAAAAGAGAGAAAGGAGATAGATAAATATTGAAATTAATGAATTAAAAATAATAGAATTGATAAACCATAAGCTGGTTCCTTAAAAAGACCACTAAAATAAATAGACCTCTGGCAAAGGTAGTGAAGAAAACAAGCTTACATTTAGAAATAATGGGAATATAATCAGATACTGAGAAGATTTTAATTTTAATTCTGGGTTTACTCTGTGCTAATAAATTGAACGTCTTGATGGAATGGATCATTTTATAGGCAAATATAATTTATCAAAATTGACTGAAGAAGAAAGCCTGAATAGACCCATTACCATGGAAGGAATTAAAAGTTATCAAAGAACTGTCCCTTCACAAGGTGGTTTTTACAGGTGAGTTTTATCAAGACTTCAAGGAACAAATTGTTTCCTTGAGCATTAAAAGAAGAAAATGCTTATTGGTTAATTATTGAAAGAACTATAACCCTCACAGAGGAATCTGACAAGACAAAAAATTTGTAGATCAATCTCACTTATATAGAAGAAGAAATTCTGTGTAAAATATTAGTATATTGACTCTGACAGTACCTTGGAAAAATAATACTGTGTGAGCAAATAGAGTTTATTTGTAGATTGAAAGAATGGCTCAACATTAGGGAATATATTAATATAACCCACCACAGTAGCACATCAAAGAAGAAAAACAGTTTGATGATTTCAGTAGTTGTCAAAAAGACTTTTGATAAAATTGCACCTTTGTTCCACATAGAATCATTAATACTAGGTCTCAAAGAACACTGCTTTAAGATGGTAAACTATTAAAACCTCAAGAAAGGATGCTTGCTAACCTTGCTGTTTTCAGCAGTGTTCAAGTCTCGTGGCTATAAACACGTGTCTCGCCACATGAATTCTGACAGGACACTTGAACGCTGATTGGGACTTGTTTGGGGAGACTGTCCTCAGCACTGCAGTAAGTCCGGTGTCCCTGGCCCCGCCAGCAGTGCCCTTTTGTAAAAGCCAAAGCCTCCTTGTGGCTTTGGAGAACAACTGGTCCATCTGAACAGCCTCAGCATCAATAAAAATGTATTAGAGCCAATAAAAGAATAGTGACCACTTACAAAATACGCATGCAGAAACCAGTGATGTTCCTATATGTCATCAAAATTCAGTTATGGATGGTCGATTTGGTTCACAACAATGTGAATGTACTTAATGCCACGGAATCCTACACTTACCAGTAAAATGGTTAAGATGGTATATTTTGTTATATATTTTGCCACAATAAAAAATTTTAAAATGTTTACATTTTCAGTTACAATATTAAGTAAAAACAGATTCCACTTAAAATAGTAACAAATGCCTAGCTGATGTGGCTCAGTGGTTGAGTGTTGACCTACAATCCGGGAGATCATGGTTCGATTCCTGGTCAGGGCACATGCCCGGGTTACAGGCTCGATCCCCAGTAGGGGGTGTGCAGAAGGCAGCCAATCTATAATTTTCTCTCATCATTGATATTTCTGTCTTTCTCCCCCTCCCTTCCTCTCTGAAATCAATACAAATATATTTTTTAAAAATAGTAATATATAACCAAGTAATGGGATTAAATCCTATAAGAAATGTACAGTATAGCACCTTTATAAAGAACTGGAGACCTTCGACTGGACGCAGACAGTGTCTTTCCAAACTAACTAGCGTATCAGAAGTCACATGTTTTTGTTGGGGAAGACTGGCCTGGCAAAATTATCCTAATGGTTATCTGGAAGAGTAAGTGGTTCATTTTAAAAAAGAGTGGTATGAGTCAAACATAAAACTATAGTACGTTAGTGTTGTATGGAAGATACTATGGAGTTTAGAAACTCGTCTAACATAAATGAGCATCTGAGGGAAAGATTAACCACCAGGAAAATAAGTTAGATCCTTACTGATTCCATCTACCAATAATTGTATAAATTAAAATTTTATTAACATTACAAATACAAAGCCATGCAGTGCTGGAACAAGGGACTTTATTTATTATGAGAAGAGATAGGCCTCTTTAATCTTGGCATAAATCATAATTTGGCTACAAAGAATTAAAAAATTTTATGTCCAAAACCACCATAAAGTCAAAAGATAAATGACAAACGGGAACCTTTTTGTCATGGATATTACTGACAAAGCATAAGTAACTATATAACATAGTCTTTCAGAGAAAAATGGGAAAAGAACATGAGTATTTCAATAAAGAGAAAATCCAGTAGACAGTAAGCATGTGAGCAAATATAGCAACTCATTAATAAAGCGATATGAATAGAATGTGTTAATCATCAATTTCTCAACACCAAAAAGAAATGGAAATACTCATGGTTGTTGAGAGTGAGGTAGAAATGATTTTAATTTCTTGTGTATGTAGAGTGTTGTAATCAATTTGATAATGTTTAGCTAATGCCTTAAGAATATGCCTTTCATTTTCCCCAGTGTTTCTATTTCCAGGAATTTATTCTCAGGAAATAATTAAGACTACAAAATGATCATCATGGCATCCTATATAATAAAAGGCTAATATGCAAATTGTCCCCTTGACTGGGAGTTTGGGAGTTTGACCAGGGGGCAGGGCCGGCCCATCAACCACCAATCGGCCAATCAGGGCAAGCCGGCCGGACCCCACCCATGCACAAATTCGTGCACCGGGCCTCTAGTTGTTACATAATAACAGACCCTGCTAGATTATCTAACAAGCGGGGGTTATTTAAATAGAATGAATTGGTACTCATCTTTTACCTTTATCTGAAAAAGAAGATATAAAAATATGTATATTCTGACATGATTTTAAAAATAATCTATAATAATAAAAGCATGATATGCTAATTAGACCGGACATCCTTCCGGACGACCTGCTGGATGAAGCTGGGGCTGTGAGGGAAGCCCGAGTCCCTGGTGCCGGCTGGTCCTGGATGCTGGCTGGTGGCCGGAGGGAAGCCCGGGTCCCAGGTGCCAGAGGGAAGCTGGTGCTGGCAGCCAGGGGAGGGAAGGCCTACTCTTGCACGAATTTTGTGTATCGGGCCTCTAGTACATATATATTCATAGAAAAGAATCTCCTATTTAAAAAAAGAGTGAAAAGGGAATGTGCCAAAGGGGAAACGGGGGTTCTCTCTGGTGGATTCAGGGATCTTTGAAAATTTTCCTCTTGCTTATTTAACTGCATTTTCTATTTTTTGAAAAAGAGACTCTATTGTTTTTCTTTTATAATAAGAACAAAATGTATAAATAAGACATTAAGAGTTGTTCCAGGTAGTCCTCATCTGTCCTGGGAGTTTAACATAGTGGTAAGAAATGAGTTTTAGCTGGATCTGTGTCCCAGCTCCGCCACAGGTTCTGATCCAGGCAAGTTGGTTTCTCTAAACTTCCGTTTCTTTAGCTATAAAAACAGCAGATAATAAAAGTAATACCGTGTTACTTAGTTAATAGAGCTGTTATAATGATTAAAGGAAGTAATTCGTGTGAAGAACTGAAGCTCAGTACCGGCACAGGAAGTATTCTGAGCTGGTGGTTTTAACTGTTAGGACCAAACTGGACCTGCTGACTGTTGTAGTGTGAAATCTCATTCGGCTTCACCTGTTAATTAGGTGCTGTCCCCAGCCCTTTGCTTCCTTCACAGCTCTTATCACCATTCATAATGATTTATTCCTTTATTTGTTTATTATCAGTGTCCTTTATTAGGCCGTAAGTGTAGGGGTAGAGACTGCCTTGTTGGCCATCATTTCCCAGTGCCAGGTTGTCAATGTGACGTCCTCAGATAATATTCATTGGGCTAATGCTTGTCGTAGTTCCGAGTGTTGTGTTTCAGGCCTGGTGGCCAACACATCTGTTCATGAAGACAAAAATCACTGTTACAACAAGAGTGGGTATTTAGGTTAAATAAATTCCTTTGACTGAAAGGAAACAGGTTCTACTTCAGTTTCCATTAAGTTAACATTTACTCTAGAACAGCGGTCGCCAACCTTTCGGACCTCACGGACCACCAGTGGTCCACACGGACCACTGGTTGGCAACCGCTGCTCTAGAGTTTTTTTGTTTTTATTTTTGTAAACAGATGGTATTTCCAAGGATGTCGAATTTGTGATAGTTTTTCCTTTTTCTGAGCAAAATTAGACATTCTGGGTAACACTTTAAAAAGTTTATAAGCCTTTAGAACAGGGGTGGGGAACCTTTTTTTTCTGCCAAGGCCATTTGGATATTTATAACATCATTTGTAGACCATGTAAAATCATTAACTTAAAAATTGGCCTGCGATATTTGGTCAAACATTTAATTAACTCACCCTGATACCTTGGCAGGGCCAGACCCAATGATATCTCGGGCCTTATGTGGCCCTTGGGCCAGATGTTCCCCACCCCTGCTTTAGAATATGAATTTGTACTGAGTTATGTATGTTATTTTATATTTGGTTCATTCTCTCAGGTTCACAGTTAATAGAAGAATCTCTATAGTCGGATTTGGTTTATATGGATCTATTCATGGTCCCACGGATTATCAAGTGAACATACAGGTATATTTTCCCCCTCACTATATGTCATCTTGAAATATAACAACTGTAATTTTACCAGGAGATATTGTTTTGACAAAATCCAAATTTCGGTATAATTATCAAAGGAATCAGAAAGCCTCTGAGTGGCGTTTTAAGCCTGGAGAGTTCTGTTTTACAATTGATCTAAAGAATCTGGTTTCAGAAAATGGGAGTCCTGGGGTTCTTCATGGCAGCTTCAGTGTGCAAGGAGCTGTCTTTCCTCCAGGATGCCCGTCCAGCAGTCCTTCCTGCTGTGCACCGACCATCTTAACACACCCCTGCTTTTCTCACGGCACTTGGAACTCAATGGCTTAAAACGGTCTCATTCCTTGTAACTATTCTGAACACCCTCTGGTTTCTGATTGTCTGACTGTGCCCTGCCCCATTCCTCAGGCCCGCCCCCCTCACTTACAGATAGGACTCGGAAGAAAGTTAAGAACCTCTCCGTTTCCTTCCAGTCAGCCGGTGTTCCCCAAATTTTTTATTGCACACCCCACTTAATTGTTTTTGAAACACATCAATATGTACTTTTATTTATAAACTGTACATATGCAATACTGTACTTACATAATACACATAAATTAAAACACAGAAAATAGAAATGAGAAAAGTAAACAATGTTTCGCTCTAGCCTGTTTGGCTCAGTGGACAGAATATCGGCCCACAGACTGAAGAGTCCTGGGTTTGATTCCAGTCAAGGGCACGTACCTGGGTTGCAGGCTCTATCCCTGGCCCTGGTCAGGGCTTGTGTTGGAGGCAACCAATTGATGGGCCTCTCTCACATCAATGTTTCTCTCTGTGTGTCTCTCCCTCTCCCTTCTACTCTCTCTAAAAATTAATGGAAAAATATCCTCAGATGAGGATTAACAAAAAATAAAAAAATTTAATGTTTCAAGCTTTTGTTTATCAGCAGAAAAAACTGCCCTCTCTAAAATCTTATTTATATAGTATTTTTAATAGTAAATACCTTGGTGAACTTTGTGATCAGACTGCATCATTAGGTTTCAAAATAAGCAATTCAAAGACCTGGCTCAATGGCAGCTGAAAGATGCCTTACTGCCTCAAAGATCCCTTGCTCCAAATGGGAGAACTGCATTATTACCGTACTAGTGAAATCTTGCTCATTTTTTAAAAACTATTTTTTTATTAATTTCAGAGAGGAAGGGAGAGGGAGAGATAGAAACATCAATGATGAGAGAGAATCATGATAGGCTGCCTTCTGTACGACCCCTACTGGGGATTGAGCCCATAACCCGGGCATGTGCCCTGACTGGGAATTTAACTGTGACCTCCTGGTTCATAGGTCAATGCTCAACCACTGAGCCATTCTGGCGGGGATCTTGCTCAATTTTTAATCCTGTGTGCTATTGGTTTATAGTGAAATTTATTTGATAAATTTATATCACTCATCTCAATTTGTCCTTCTTACAAACCAATTAAAAAGTTTTTTAACATTTTTAACAAATAGGTTCAAAACCCACTGAACTTGTTTATTTAAAAGATTTTTAAAGCAGGTTAAAGTTTTTTTCTACTTTTTTTGAGTGCAGAAAAACCATAGCAAATCTCTGAAGGGTATAAAAGATTTTCATGATCACTCTCCATTTAACTTTATTTCCTTATAAATATTAAGTTTCCGTGCAATAGGATCGACAAACCCATTTCAGCAGGCTGGATAGTTTGCAGTCCTGGGAAGGAGCCCCACAGTCAGCCTCTTAGATTGTGGAGCCCCTTCCTTCAGTGTCCCCCATGTATTACCAAAGTCACCAGACTCCTTGTGGACAAACTGAGGAGGGCATCAGGGTTCAATGATCCTATATAATAAAAGGCTAATATGCAAATTGACCGAGCAGCCGAACAACCAGTTGCTATGACGTGCATTGACCACCAGGGGGCAGACACTCAACGCAGGAGCTGGCCCCTGGTGGTCAGTGTGCTCCCACAGGGGGAGCGCCGCTCAGCCAGAAGCCCTGAGCCAGGCTCATGGCTGGTGAGCGCAGCGGCGGTGGCAGGAGCCTCTCCCGTCTCCATAGCAGTTGGACATCCCCTGAGGGCTCCTAGGTGCAGGCCGGCCCAAGGGACACCCTCCCCCCCCAAATCCATGAATTTTGTGCACTGGGCCTCTAGTAAAATATACGCTGAGTAAAATGAATAAAAATAAGGACTTTTTACTTTCTTACCCCAATGGCTAGTCTCAGGCATTGTCCAGTAGACCTGCCTGGTTTGTTTTTGTTTTTATTTTTTCAGAGAGGAAGGGCGAGGGAGAGAGAGAGAGAAACATCAATGATGAGAGAGAATCATGGAGTGGCTACCTCCTGCATGCCCTACAATGGGGATCGAGCTCACAATGGGGCTTATGGCCTGACCAGGAATTAAACCTTGACCTCCTGGTTCATAGGTCGATGCTCAACCATGAGCCACACCCACCGGGCTGTAAATTCTGTACTGAACTGTGATACACATACAGAAAAGTGCACATATTTATAAGTGGTACATATGGCTCACTTTTTGTAAACTGAACACACTTGTGTAGCTAGCAGCCAGATTAAGGAACAGGGCATTACAGTCCCCAGGTGTCCCCTCGTGGTCTTTTCCAGTCACTGTCCCTGCAGAGGTGACCACTGTCCTGACCTTATGGCATATGGTGATCTGGTCTGGTTTACTATTACAGTGGGGCCTTGACTTACGAGTTTAATTCGTTCAGAGACCGAGCTCGTTAAGGAGCTCGTTAACTCAAATTACTCTATCAACTCAATGCAAAAAATCGGCTGAGGTATCTCAAAAAACTCGTTAGCCGGGACACTCGTAAGTCAAGGCCCCACTGTACTGGTTTTATTTGATGTGTGCAAAAGGCAGGTGTGTGATCCCTGGCCTTGGCACATGCTGTTCCCTTGCATGGGAGACCTTCCTCTTGTTACCCAGTGAGTTCTGACTTGAGTTTTTAACACTCATCTCTGGAGCCTCATCCCTTCCTAACAAAACCTGCTTTTCCTCTATTCAGCCACTTCACCGTTTGCACAGCCCTCCCCCTGCAGGCCCTGTGCTGAGCACTGTTTATAGTAACGTCTGCACTGATCGGAAGCCCCTTGAGGGTGTCCCTCAGAGCCTGGCACAGATTGTGGAACTAAAAAAGACAAAAATTTCACATTTTTATTTTTATTATCTTTTTATCCTCACCTGAGGATCTGTTTTTATTGATTTTTAGAGAGAGGAAGGGAGAAAGAGAAACATAGATGTGAGAGAGAAACATGAATTGGTTGCCTCTCATACGCGCCCTGACCGGGATCGAACCTGGGTATGTGCCCTGACCAGGAATTGAACCCACAGGTATAGGATGATGCTGCAGCCAACTTAGCCACCCAGCCTGGGCAGTTTTCACATTTTTCATATCCATATATCTGAATACTGCATTTAAGGTCATTTTCATTTCAGTAAAATAACATTTAGATATAGGAAATGCCTTGGGAATTTCCTAGGAATGAGACTTAAGCTAGCAAGGAGTAAAGGCTCATTTCCCTCAGCTACCTCAAATCCATGCATTCAGCCCTAGCCGCTTTGGCTTAGTGGTTTGGCGTCGGCCTGTGGACTGAAGAGTCCCCGGTTTGATTCCCATCAAGGGCAAATGCCTGGGTTGTGGGCTCGATCCCCAGTAGGGTGTGCAGGCGGCAGCCAATCAGTGATTCTCTCTCATCATTGATGTCTCTATCTCCCTCTCCCTTCCTCTCTGAAATCAATAAAAATGTATTTTAAATAAATAAATAAGATACATACATTCAAAAGAACCTGTTGCTAAGCCATATATCTTTAATGGAAGCTCCTTTCTCCTGCTGCCACGCTCCCATCCTGGCTGCATGAGTGATAGCCATTTCTTGACAGCATGTCTAAAGCCATCTTTTGGGCGGTTAGAGGCGAGTATAGAAAAATGACAACACACAGCTCTAGAGGCCTATTCTGCTGTTCCTGAGGGCTTTATACAATTCTTTCCTATGAGACTTTGTTTTAGTTGGTTTAGCTTAAGTGAAATTCTCTTTTTGAAATTGCAGATCATTGAATATGAAAAGAAGCAAACCCTGGGACAGAATGATACTGGGTTTAGCTGTGACGGGAGTGCGAGCACATTCAGGGTCATGTTCAAAGAGCCCATCGAGATCCTGCCCAACGTGTGCTACACCGCATGCGCCACCCTCAAAGTAAGTCGTCGGGGTGTCCCGGATGGGGAAGCCGGGGCCCGGGTCTCCTCCTGCGTGTCTCCGCTGGTGACAGTGAGCCTCTCGGGAACAGGGAGAGCGTCTGGGCAAGGAAGTGCCTCTCAGCACAGCTCTGCTCTGACAGAAATGGTTCTTCATCGGGCGTAGCTCTTTGAGCAGGAGAAAAAGTGTCTGGCAGAGATAAAGTAAAACAGCTATTTAAAGATATTTTATTTTACTTTATTGGTTTTTTAGATAGAGGAAGGGGGAGAGAGAGAGAGAGGGAGAGAGAGAGAGAGAGAGAGAGACAGAGACATTGATTTGTTGTTCCACTTATTTATGCATTCATTGGTTGCTTCTTGTATGTGCCTTGACTGGAGATAGAGCCTGCAACCTTGGCGTATCAGTACGACACTGTAACCAACTGGGCTACTGGCCAGGGCATAACTATTTTCTTTTCTTTTTTTTTAAATCCTCACCTGAGGATATTTTTCCATTGATTTTTAGAGAGAGGGAAAGACAGAGAGAAACATCGATGTGAGAGAAACACATGGATTGGTTGCTTCCTGCATGAGCCCCGGCCAGGGCCCGGGTCAGGGAGGAGCCCGCAACCGAGGTACATGCCCTTGACCCGAATCAAACTTGGGACCCTTTGGTCTGCAGGCTGATGCTCTATCCACTGAGCCAAACTGGCGAGGGCCATAACTATTTTCTTAAAACAATATCACTATTCTCTAATAGCTGAGCTCTATTCAGTAATTTTAATAATTAATTAGCTTTGTAGCAACAATACCATTTTCATTAAATGACTTGGCATAAAATTTTATACAGGAGCTATAAGGTAACATAGTAAGTAGATCATCAATCGAATTAAAACACCACCTTAAATTGAGTGTATATTAAAGGGAAATGACTAATGAACCTTTTGTTCTCATTTAGGGTCCAGATTCCCACTATGGCACAAAAGGATTGAAGAAAGTAGTGCATGAAACATCTGCTAGCAAGACTGCTTTTTTATTTTTTAGTTCACCTGGCAATAATAATGGCACTTCAATAGAAGACGGACAAATACCAGAAATAATATTTTATACCTAATTTAGCATTATAATACATCTTGGCTAAATTGTACCATACCGTCTAATCTCAGCGGCATAAAAATCTGGCCACACAAAAAATTTGAGTGTTATGAATATTTATAATTTTAAGATGAGAAACATTTTAGTTTCTTAGAGGAGACAGATAAATGTTTATTTAAATCTCTGCATAATTTAAAGGCAGATTTTCCATTTTCTTAAAACATTAGGGGAAAAGAAAACTGGGTTTGTTTAAAAAAACACAGCTATTTCAGCTTTATCTTGTATAATTTCATAGATCAACTGACGCATGGTCTTTCAACAGTTTTATAATTGAAAGATTTTTGTTATATAGCTGGTTTGTTTTGTTTGAATTATTTTTAAGGTTACATGAGATGACATGGGTCAGTTTTCCTATAGAATTCCTATTCCTCTAATTTCAGACATTAAGAAAACTGACCTTATATTTGGAGTTTTGAAATACCTGTTTGTTAACATTTGGAATATTGCTAGAAATAGGCCTAATAAATGCCCAAGAAAAATTTTCAATGCTTTTACAGAAAAGGATATTTTGTAATAGTTTAGTAATGTGCTACATAGTACAGTTTTAAACTACAAATGGAATTTGTACAAATTCACAATAATGTGATAAAGGATCTGAGGTATAGTCTAAGATTAGATTCTTTATCACTGAACCACACCATTACACCTGTCTGTCTGTAGGGGAATGCTGCTGAGAGTTTCCAAGGTTGAGATGGGGGTGGTGATGGTGGTGAGTGGGTAAACACACTTAAGGTCAACATTGGGGTGACAAGCTTACACAGCACGAAATAGAATGAAATACTAACATTGCTTACAACTACTTTGAAATTTTAAAGATGTCCAACACATCACTCCTGCCGAAGTGACACCATCTTTTGTCACCTACACACTTGTATCCAGAAGTCAAACATGTTTAATATTCATGACCTCACACATGTCACAGGAACAGCCGTAATAGGAAGGATAGGAAGTCGATGTGGCAGAATGATATTTATACACTTTTTTATAAAGAAAAATTTTTATATAAATAACATTCTTTTTTCTTTTGAAAACGATTATCTTATAAAAACATGTATAATTAAGTGTAAGTTGTGGAAGATGGTTAAAAATCACCAGTCAAAAAGTACCAACTTAAATAGGATTCATTTTTTCAAAGAATAGTCATGAGGATGTAACATTTCTTTCATTGTATTTCATTGTATATTTTTAAGAAGGTCGTGAGGTAGCATGTGGCAGAGGTCCCTTGACTTTGCTGAAGAAAAGGGAAGTTTTCTTCTCCCTGGTTCCATGACCTTGTGGATCTAAACCTGCGTTAACTGGAGTACCTGTGGGATGTGTGGTTCTGGTTAACCAGCAAACACTGCACCAACCACTGTGGAAAATCCTTCTGCCTTAAACAGGATGGTGTACTAGCGATAAGTCCATGTTTTCCAATGTTTGAGGCATTTCGAATGCCTCCAGTACGTTGCACTGAACAGTGATTGTAACTGAAGGTAGCTCTAGCGGAGGCACAAGAAACGGGATTGTTTACTGATATGGGGCATCCCTGGAATTTTTAAAAAATAAATATTATCCATTTATTTTTTTTTTTTTGTCACTTGTCTTTTTCTTCTAAAAGTTAAGTGTAAAGATGCCATTTTGGCACAAGAGTTCTAGTTAATTGATGTTTAACTTTTTTATTTCTTTTAAAGATATTTTTATTGATTTCAGAGAGGAAGCAAGAGAGAGAGAGAGAGACAGAGAGAAACATCAGTGATGACAGAATCATTAATGGGCTGCCTCCTGCATGCCCCTACTGGGGATCGAGCCTGCAACCCGGGCATGTTCCCTTGACTGGAATCGAACCTGGGACCCTTCAGTCCGCAGGCTGATGCTCTATCCACTGAGCCAAACCAGTTAGGGCAGGTTTAACTTCTTAATTTACAGAAGTAATGCAACACAAATTAAGAATGCCTCACTGCTGTCGTAAAGCAAGTCATAGGAGCTGCAGCAATGACATCTGCTGTCATCTGTTTCTTGATGAGGTTTTCGTGGCCTCGGTCTAATCTCAGGAGGTAGGAAGTGAAGGCGGCTGGTTCCTTCCTCTCTGGCAGTGATGGCCGTCTCGCTGTGGTTAGTGTCAGTAACAGCTACCGGAGTGGTTACTGTGCACCAGCCTCTGCACTAAGTACTCAACACACATTCTCACTTGTTTCTCACAACATCGCTATGAGGTAAGTGCTATTATAATACCCACTTCACAGGCAAAGGACTTCATGTTTAAAAGGTTATTAACTGCCCCAGTGGGCTTGGCTCAGTGGATAGAGCATTGGCCTGGAGACCAAAGGGTCCCGGGTTCAGTTCCGGTCAAGGGCACGTACCTCGGTTGCAGGCTCCTCCCCGGCCCGGGCCCTAGGTCAGGGCTTGTGCAGGAGGCAACCAATTGATGTGTTTCTCTCACATTGATGTTTCTCTCTGTCTTGCCCTCTCTCTTCCACTCTCTAAAAATCAGTGGAAAAATATCCTCAAGTGAGGATTTAAAATTTTTTTAAATAAAAATATAACTCATTTTAAAAAATTTACTAACTGGTGGGAGGCAGAATTTAAGCTCAGGTCTATCTCCCAAGCTAAAGTTGGGCAATATTCTTCTGGGTCCCAAAGTAACATGTCGCCATTTTCTCCAACTTCACAACAGGACCTGGCTAATCTGTATTTACTATAGAATATAAAGTATTTTCTATTTTTTAAAAAGTGTGATGATTCCAGTACCTGCCCCACAAATTGAGATTATTAAGTATTCTTTGTTTTAGATCTACATAGTATCCATTGACACAAGATGGAGTTGTTACATGGAACTTGACTAAGAACTGAAAAAAGTTAAATAGGAGCCAGCACAAACATTTACAATCGGTTTCCTGCGGTTTGGATTATAGTCCCTGTCCTTTCCCACACCACTGGGCACCATCCCACTCTTTTTCCCTCTAGAGGCCGAAATTTTGGGCAGAAGCAACAAGTCGGGGAAACAGGTTAGGTGGCAAATGGAGCTGATACCTTTAGGAAAGGCTGAATTTTTTATTTTATTTTAATTTTTTGTATAGCAAAGGTGGAAATGTATTGAAGAACACATAGAGACTCCCACATGGGGAAGGGGAAAGAATCTCACAGCACAGACTCCCACGTGGGGAGGGGGAAAGAGCCCCCTGAATGGTTCTTTCTAGGACTCCTCTACCCTCTGTCTTTACCATCTAGACAACTGCCAGATACCATTCATAATTCACCATAGCAAGTGCTCCTTTTATATCCATCATAACTGTCAAAGCTCTAATTGAGGCTGTCATGACTTAACCAATTTTATTTAATACAGATTCAGCTTTTGTGCCCCCTTTCCTTTTATATATATTTTTTTAAATTGATTTTTTACAGAGAGGAAGGGAGATGGATAGAGAGTTAGAAACATCGATGAGAGAGAAATATCCATCAGCTGCCTCCTGCACACCCCCTACTGGGGATGTACCCGCAACCAAGGTACATGCCCTTGACCGGAATCAAACCTAGGACCTTTCAGTCCGCAGGCTGATGCTCTATCCACTGAGCCAAACTGGTTAGGGCTCCTTTTTTCTTTTCTTTTTTAACGTTAGGCTGGGTCTTTATTTTCATGTTTTTGTATAATGAATATTAAATTTAATTGGTTTCTTTGTTGCTATTCTTGTTGTGTGTTTTTTTGTTTTTTTTTAATCCTCACCCGAAAATATTTTTCCATTGATTTTTAGAGAGTGGAAGAGAGAGGGAAAGACAGGAACATTGATGTGAGAGAAACACATCGATTGCCTCCTGCACACCCCCGACCAGGGCCAGGAGCCTGCAACCGAGGTACATGCCCTTGACCGGAATCGAACCCGGACCCTTCAGTCTGCAGGTCAACGCTCTATCCACTGAATCAAACCAGCTAGGGCTGTGCCTCATTTCTTAACTGATTTCAAACTAAATATGTCTCTGGTTTGACACCTGATTCACTTCCTACTACCAAAGCCTTCATACTGAGTGGCCTCGGTGTCCATGTGGGGTAGACAACCCATCCGAACCTAGCTTTTCACTTTCTCTCCTCCAGTACCTTCACCATTCCAGGCCAGCCACTTCTCAGGTCCACACGGTGTGCCTTATTGTGTGGAATTGCACGACCTCTGAAAGGTACAGACATCCTCTCCGACCACAACCTCGATGCTCTTCAGGTCTCCCTCGCACCCCCACTCACGTTATCGAACCTTAAGAGTCGTTCCCTTCTCGCTGTGTTCTATTAAACCTCTTCATTTTCTACCCAATTAGACTCCACCTTTGATTCTTCGTTTTTCCTTCTCCACTTTTTGATCTCTGATCACTTTTAACTACTTCATCAATAACCCAGAACCCCCTCGCACCCACCTGGATGAATTCAATTGTCCGCCTTATCTTTAACTTCCTGGCGCTGGGTCCAAAGTGTTGAAAATGATAGTGTACACATTGAGGCCGTGATGATTTTATGGTCTCCAAGTTCAACTAGATCATTGGTGCAGCCAGGGGAGGGTTCAGTAGTCAGCTCTCTGATTCCCCTGAGTATTTAAATCTGTTATACTCTCCTAACACCTCCCCTCCTGTAGCTGATGAAAGAAGCTCCAGCTCCTCCCACCAAACCTACAAACACACCTACGTGAGCAGCGAGGCTGTCCTTTTATGAAGAAAAGGTGTCTTGACTACGGCTTCCTGTAGAAGGGTCATTCTCTCCCGTTGTGCTCAGAACCCCACCCTCTGCCTCTGTTTTACCCTCCCTCTCCTGGCTTCATTCCTATCAACATTGATAGGATATCCCTATCCTATTAACTCCCATCCAGTTTTTTTTGTGTGTTTTTTTTCTTCAAAAAGTCAATGCCATGCTGCCCCTCCAGATACCAGTTAACTCCTTCACAGTGAAGTCAAATTACTCCCTGCCCCATCCGTGTGGCTCAGTGGTTGAGCCTCCACCATGAACCAGGAGGTCAGTCAGGGCACATGCCCGGGCTCCATCCCCACTAGGGGGCGTGCTAGAGGCAGCCAGTTGATGATTCTCATCATTGATGATTCTTTCTCCCTTCCTCTCTCTGAAATCAATAAAAACATATTAAAAATTTTAAAAAGTGCCGAAACCGGTTTGGCTCAGTGGATAGAGCGTCGGCCTGCGGACTCAAGGGTCCCAGGTTCGATTCCGGTCAGGGGCATGTGCCTGGGTTTCGGGCACATCCCCAGTGGGGGATGTGCAGGAGGCAGCTGATCGATGTTTCTCTCGCATCGATGTTTCTGGCTCTCTATCTCTCTCCCTCCCTCTCTGTAAAAAATCAATAAATATATTTAAAAAAAATTTTTTAAAGTATTCCCTACAGTAGTTAGCCTCTGCTACTTACACTGTGGGAGCCCGAGCTCCTGGCACAGGTGGGTGCTTCCCATCTCTGGGTTTCCTGGGCCACATCCCAGGACAAGAGGTTCCCGCGCAGGCTCTGGAGCAGTGGTTCTCAACCTTCCTAATGCCGCGACCCTTTAATACAGTTCCTCATGACCCTTTAATACAGTTTCTCATGGTGCGGTGACCCCCAATTTCATTGTTACAAATTGAACATAATTAAAGCATAGTGATTAATCACAAAAACAATATGTAATTATATATGTGTTTGCCGATGGTCTTAGGCGTCCCCTGTGAAAGGGTCGTTTGACCCCCAAAGGGGTCGCTACCCACAGGTTGAGAACCTCTGCTCTGGAGGATCCCGAAGTC